AAAATATGAACAGAGAAATAAAAGGATTCCGCTGAATCTCATGTAATGGTCTTTAACCTCCGTTACCAAGTTTGAAATGTTTGACTATAGCAATAAATAAATACACTTGTTTTTTTGATTAAATGTTATATATTTAACATATTTAAATATTATGTTTCATAACAAAATAACCAATGCCTTAGGCAGTTTTCCTTTTTTTTTTTTTTTAACATTCCAACAAAGCAAAGCCAACTTTAGTATTAAAAACATCTGTCTGAACAAAACGTCAGTTTTTTTTCACGCAAAAAAGGGTAAAACCCTGTAACCCACAAAAAAATGCAAATGGTTAAACTTCACATTTTTTAATTTTCTGTATAATACGGCCAGATTTTTTTTATGAATTACATTTACGGTGAAAAAACGTAAAAGGACATTCCCAGAAGTCCCTGCATAAAATCACATTTTATTGAGTTTTTTTTTTTATCGGTACATTAGGGTGTTTTGTGTTTAATTTTCTTTTAGTTAACGTTATTTTAGTCTGTTATTTGTTATTTTAGTGTTATGGTTAGTATATAGGCCACGAACTCTGATTCATCATGTGGCTTTCTATTTTACAACGTTATTATGGTGGTAATCAGTATAAATATTTAGGAAAAAGCATATTTTAATAGTTCAAGTAGTAAGTAGTTTTATAACTTGATGAAATATATAGTTGTAAGTTATATACAAGCACCGATATGCCGTACATTTACTGTGAATTTCTGGCAACCACAGCTGCTATAGTTTTTTTTAAACAAATTTCATGCAATATTTTTGCAATGCAGAGAACATAATATACAAGCTACAGTAAGGCTTTTCTTCCAGTACTCATTCTTGACTTATAGTAACAATTATTCAAACTCTATGGAAACGAAGCAGAATTGAACCATTGCTAGGCAACAGGCTATGAACATCCTGTAGCTTTAAGCAGGATGACTGCAATAGATACAGAAAAACACATCTTTCCTCAACTGACAAAGGTTCGGTTATGTCTAAGAGGTCAGACTTACATTCTCTTGATGCCGAAGGTTTGTGAACACAGAGGCCTAAGTTCTGTAAAAAAAGACTACAAGATACTTAAGAGCTGCAACTCTAAAGAATGACAAAAAAACTCTGGCTGGTTTAGAAGGATTACTGATCTACCCTTGAGGAATTTCAGCCAGATATTTTGTGATGATTCATCAGCGGTTCTGCAATGTAACTCAAGCATCTGGGCCTTTAATGAGATGTAGGAGGAGGAGGAGAAAAGATGTCATCCTGTCTAGAAGACTTGAGAAGACAAGCTATTCTGCCTTGTTAAATGAATATCACATGAACCAATAAGCTCCATGACTGGAATGGCTTTTTCTTGAGCAGAACAAACTATAGAAGCTTTATTGGACAAATGAGACACTTTCACACATTGAGAAAAACACACAACCAAAATCGTTGAAATGAACAAAGAAAACCCCACATTTTATTGCACTTAAGTTATAAGAAAATAATAATTCTAAATGAATCAAACAAATACACAATCCCTTTAAGGTTTCTTTTTTTTATCTGTCTGTTATGCCAGGCAGTTTACATAAACTGAAAAAATAAAACAGCTCCAACATCTGATTTCTCAAACCAGATTATAAATTAAACGGGAAGAAAAAGAAAAAAAAAAAAAAGCAGGAGAAAGAACAAGATTGTTTTTTCTTGTAATATACAGTGTTAAACCACTTTCACAGTTCAGCTTGAGTTGTGTGACTTGGAGGATGAGATGAATCGTTTGGCTACGGATGCGGTTACGTCCTGTTTATCGATGAAGCTGCTTTACCATTCAAAAAAACAAAATCAAACAAACAAACCCCATGAGAGCGTCACCAACGGAATCAGGTTAGCTCTAGCACTTTAAATGTAATCAAATGTCCATTTATGTACACTAAGACCACCTTGTTTCTTCGGTAACTTAACGTCGGTTCCAACAATCTCATTTTTCAACTAATTAAAAACAAGAAGGGTATTCTTTTTCATTGAAGCATACATTTCCACACAGAACAGACTGACAGAGCTTTTGTCCCAAGGAATGTGTGAACAATTTGCTCAAACACACACCCGCACGCACACCCAGTCATGCTCACAAACACGCGCAAAATAGTTTCTACACGTCCGTCGTTTCATCTCAGCAGACAAACCCGTCTCTGTCAGACATTCTCCCTCCTCTACGCCTCGTAGAGGCACATTTGGCTCAAGTGTCAGTGGCAAAAAAAGAGAAGCTGTTATGTCGATATCTTGCTTTTGTTGGTACGTTTGTTTGTGTCGTTTTTACAAGTTCAAACTCTACAAGTTACTTTTGTTTAGAATTTCGTCTGGGACTAAAACGTCACAGCCAGTTAAAGTTCCAACTTATTTTTCTGTGAGTCTAGCAGCATAAAATCCAGTTTGGCCACTGGGATGGACAGTACTGGGGGGGGGGGAGGGGCACAC